GCTCTGGCTCCATCTGTCTAAATAGGCCAGAAGCCGTGCTGACTGCCTCAGGGGTGCTCTGAGAGCAGCTGCCTGCTAAAAGCAAGCTGCTCCAGTGTTGGGTGGTGGAAGCCAGATGGTTGAAGATGCTAGTCTGGTTTATTCGACCTCCCAGGGCTCACGGGGAACTCATGAGGGTACTGGGACCTCTCTGTCTACAGACCCAGTGATAACGGTCAGCCCTGGAGAGGAGCAGAACCAAACGGTTGAGGGGCTACAGCTCTTAGAGCCTCCAGGAATTGTGGGAGCACCCACACCTTAGTCCTCCTGTTCCCATATGGCTCTGGGGGCGGGGGTCACTGACCTCACCTAGAGGCAAGCCCCAGGTCAGGGGCCAGACTCTTTCTTGACTTTGCTTTTCCTTGGCTAAAGGTTCAGCAAAACTGCTGAGAGCCAAAGATGGAACCGGAGAAAACGTGCGCTGCCTAAAGCTAAAGGCATTCTAATTAAACTCAAAGAAATACTATCCTGGGTTGCTGGAGGGAGTAGTAGCTATTTCTGGAGAAGAGAGGCCAATCCTTCTGCGTGCAACAGTCTAAGTAAAATAGGGTGAGTTCTTCCTCTCTTCCTTGTGAATTTCCCTTCATTTTTTTTTCTGTTCCCATTTCTCTCCCGCCTCTGGCATTCAAGTGGGCCAAAGGCTCACCCTGCTTGTCCCGCTGTCCTGGGGACCTTTAAAGCATGGACACAGTTCAGCCCATGTTTACTGAGCCAACACCTGCTGGAGGTGGAAGAATCCAGGCCGAGGCTTCGGCATGTACCCAGGTAGCAGACCAGACACCAGCTCTAAGCCAAACCCAGGACAAAGCAAGGTGTATGCTGAAGCTCCAGTCTCAGGGACCATCGGGGCAGAAGGGACTTCTGGAGGTGTGTGTTAAAGCAGAGGTTGTACCCTGGCAGAAACCAGTAGAGAGAGGAAAAATGGGGGGGAGGAGGGAAGTGGAGAATGCGATACTCACAAAATGACAAGCTTGGCTACAGAGGCAGAGAGAAAAGGATCTGCCGAGCTAAAGGTAAACTGGACAGACCATGTCGTCCAAAGACAGCCTGGCTGACTTGTGCTTCTCGGTGTAGGTCATGGGGAGCCATGGAAATACTAGAGGGAGGCATAGCATTGTCTGGGCTGGGATTAGAAGGGTTTCTAGATCTTGCCTCTGTCCTAAGTGCTCATGAAATCGTTAGACCTTGATTCTGAGTCCTAAGACCTACCAGGGTGAGCAGTTTGGGTCTCAAGTGTTAAATTTTTGGTAAGATCTGCCTTGGTGATCCCATTTCTTAAATTATCTAATAATTTTAATTATCTATTATAATTTAAAATTTTTATTTATGTTTTAAAAATTATGTATAGGTGTGTGTGTGTGTCCACATGTGAGTGTGTGCATGTGAGTACAGGTGTCTGTGGAGGCCAGAGGCATCAGACCCCCTGAAGCTGGAGCTACACATGACCATAAGCCACCTTGCCTGAGTTCTGGAAGCCAAACTCAGGTCCTCTCCAGCCCCCTGGAGGCCCTATTTAATGACACAGCTCTGTGACATTCCTGAGACTCCTTTCTCTCTCTGGGTTTTTGTTTGTTGTTTCCATATTACATTTTTCTTCCCCTAACATATTTTATCTAGAATTTATACTGCTTTGGCAGGCCTCGTGGTATACTCCTATAATCCTAGCGTTTGGGAAGCTGAGGCAGGAACATTGACACAAGTTTGAGGCTAGCCTGGGTTACTTAGGGAAACTCTGTCTCTGGAAGAATAAGAATTAGCCAGGCAGTGATGGTGCACGCCTTTAATCCCAGCACTCAGGAGGCAGAGACAGGCAGATCTCTGTGAATTTGAGGCCAGTCTGGTCTACAGACCGAGATCTAGGACAGGTTCCAAAACTACACAGAGAAACCCTGTCTCGGAAAAAAAAACCCACAGAAAAAAAAGTAAGAATTAATAATGCAAAAATCAATAAAGTTGAGCTGCTTGCCGAATGTCCTGCCCTTCTCCAGCAGAGGTAAGGCCTGGGAAGACAGAATTGTGTCTTCTGTGACATGCTTCTGATCTCAGGGCCCAGCCTAAAAGCCAATACCCAAGCACAAGCACAGTGCTGTTGAGTTTGTTGGGAGGAAAGCCTGCCCTGTGGGAACCAGCTCCCTCTCTGGCACCACACCCTCACTTCCTGGGGCTTGGCAGTGCCTGAGCCTCCTGGTGGAAAAATCTCAGAGAAAATCAGACAGAACTGTGTCGCTTCCCTCCCTGCCTCTCACCCTGCCGGGAATCTTGGAAGCTTTGCACTGATCCTCCTTCGCCCCCATCTACATCACCACTGCCGTCGTCTGTCATCTTGGAAGGGAGCCCGCAGCCTGCCAGGCACATTGCACCTAGGGAAAGTGAGCAGGCTGCAGGATGTGGCACTGAGAACAGCTTTGTCGGTGGGTCTGAGTGAAACGAAGCTGGCCCTTGCGCAAGGGTGCTGGCTGGCGGCCCCACTGTGGCCTCTACCCTCTGCAGGGGGGCTAATTCTCTCCATTTTACAGGTGGACAAACAGGGACATAGAGAAGTTCATGGTCATGGTTAACCAATGCCTCTGCACTCTGGTCATGGCTAACCAATGCCTCTGCACTCTGGTCATGGTTAATCAATGCCTCTGCACTGTGGTCATGGCTAACCAATGCCTCTGCACTATGGTCATGGTTAAACAACGCCTCTGCACTGTGGTCATGACTAACCAACGCCTCTGCACTCTGGTCATGGCTAACCAATGCCTCTGCATTCTGATTATGGATAACCAATGCCTCTGCATTCTGGTCATGGTTAACCAACGCCTGTGCACTCTGGTCATGGATAACCAATGCTTCTGCACTCTGGTCATGGATAACCAATGCTTCTGCACTATGGTCATGGTTAACCAACGCCTCTGCACTTGAAAAGGAACTGGGTTTTAAACGCAGGCCTGCCGGACTCCACCAAGCATCATGTCTCCCTGGTGTGCAGCTTCTCCTCCATGGGGATGCAGGGTTATTGGCGCAGTGTGCTCTGTCCAGGGTGCTGATCCTGTGTACTTTCGGCCCACCTCCAGCAGCCTAGAGCTAGGAGAGCCAAGGAAAATGACTTCATGTCTGCTGCCTGACCTGAACTTGAAAGTGTTGCAGTCCCCGTCTGCTTTGGGCAGTGGCCAGCTGACCTCTCCTCACTCTGGTGTGGACAGGGCTGGAGTCTAGAATAGGGCTATTGCACTTGCAGTCTCACGGACCCAGATGAAACCAGAGCCGCCCTTATCCAGTGGAGCCTGCAGCCCGTATCCAGCTGTGCTCACATCAGGGCTCTGGTTAAGAGGCAGAGCTTGAATTAAACCCTCAAGCTGGGTGGGGGGCTGCATGTGGCTACACCTCTACTCCTTGGGAATTCAGTATACCTCCCCCAAAGGTGAAAATGCTATCTCAATAAGCATTATTATTATTATTATTATTATTATTACTACTACTATTATTTCCTCATAATGTACAACGTAAATACAATACATCCAGTCTCTGCTTTCAAGACCCTTAAAGGGCAGGTTAGGGCACAGGCCACAGGGAGCCATGGATGATTGTATGCCCTGGGAGTGAGATGGCTACTCAGTGCTTTAGGGAAGTTAGCCAAGCATCTGGGTATGGCTGGGAGAGAACAGGCTTTAGTAATTAGCAAAGCTAATATGATAACCACGTACTGAATGCTAGATGCTGTTCCGAGCACTTTACAGGTTTTAATCTATTTAATCCTTGGTTTTCACTTGCTATTGTTCCCCCTTTTTACGATTAGAGACTGGTACACAAAGATGGTGAGGTTGGCAGGTGGCTGCAGAGCCCTGAGCTTTCCACAGCCATCTAGATGGGAGAAAGCAGGGTTGTCCAGGGAGACCTGAAGGGGGACAGAAGTAAGGGCTGCCTGCGGCCAAGGCCGCCTGGCCTGGAGGGTTCTCCTGGGGAAGGAGGAGGAAGTCGTGAGGGCTACAGAGCACCTGAGCACTTCACACTAAAAAGAACTCGATCCAAGATGACCTTAATGGATAGCAACAACAATCGCAATATTCTTGGCCAAAAGCCCATCCAAGACAGCTTTTTCCTTCATGAAAGAGAGGCCTTAGACACTCTCAGGGGGGAAGAGCTCACCCTATTACAGTTTCCCTGCCCAGTGCCCAGGGCTGCATCATCCTTTCTCCAAGACACAATCTGTGTTTCCACTTCTAAAACAGGAAAGAAAGATTTCTCTAGATGCTCAGCTCCTTCATAACACGGTCTACCTCTGGATGCCGGACAAAGGAGTATGAGTTGGTTGAGATGGCCATAGGGTAGAGGAGAGGGAAGGTACTCGGGGCAGAGGCTGGGCTGAGGCCAGCAGGAAGGAGGCAGCTGAAACCGAAAGCTTCCTGTGCAGTTTTGATGCGATTACACCTGATTCCTCTGAGATGCTCAATGCCAACATCTGGATTCACCCTTGCTATTAAGTGATACTCAAGAAGTAAAAGAGGGATTGACTTGGATTAACTCAGTGAGATCCCTCCCAGCTCCAGCCGTCTGAAGATATTATCTGTCTTAATTCTTTCCAGAGGAAGAGAGTTCTCAAGAGTCAGGGAGTGCTCAGAATAGCGTTGCCTGGACCTAATCGTGAGCCTGCACCCCACACCAAAGCAGCTGGGCAGGACCCTCCACACAGAGGTCCCAGCTAGGAGCTCAGCCTGGGGCATGGCCAATGATCAGAGAACAAGCTGCCCACAGCTCTCACCTGAGCCACCTGAGATGGTGCCCTGTGCAGAGGGGTCAGGTCCCTGCTGCCCCTTCCAGGCGGGCTGTGGTTAGAGACATCTATGGAAGACCCTTCCCAAGTGCTGGCTGGCACACCACCACAGGCTAGGAGACAACCACAGGGCCGCATTTCCCAAGGTTGGGGGGTGGGGTGGGAACCAGTGCTAGGGCTGCCGGATGATGGCAGGGGTACCTACCTGGGGCAGCAGGTGTTGGTGAGAGCTCAGGCTGAAAGGCTATGTTCCCAGGTCTTCCCGTTCTCGACCAGTCCCTGGGAAGAGGTGTTTCCAGGTGACCCTGCAGTGTCTCGCCAGTTCCTGACCACAAAAGTGGTTCCTTCAAAGCTCTGTGGCAAAGGGACAACAGAACCCTCTCAGGATAGGCAGGCAGGGATCCCAGTCCTCTGTAAACAGCTCCTCCCCAAGCCCTAGCTGGCCAGGTCTCTCCTAGACCCAATGTGCTGGTCAGCATCATGCCACTGGGCCAGCCTGGGGAGAGCTCTGGTAGGGCGAAGGGCACCTCGGAGGCCAACGAGCGCTCAGTGTGTGGCCTGAGTGAGCCGTCCAAGCCGAGCAGAGGTAGACGGCAGGAAGGAGGATAGAGATGGAGCACTATACTAGAGTGTCAAGCCATTCTGGTTCTGTCACTTGTCCCCTGGTGAGCTGAAGCACTCCTTTCCCTCACTGTGATAGGCGCTTCAGCCTAGATATAGAGTAAAGTCAGCAGTGTTGAGGTGAAGGGAGGTCACACAGAGCCACAGCCATCTCTTCCTTCCGAGCCATCTGAGGAGACCTTACCGAAATGCCTACTGGAAGAACCCTCTGCCAGTCCACAGAGAGCAAATGTCCAGGAAGGGACCTAGGGATCTGCATGTCCACATCTTGACCACAAAGGTACGGGAAGTCATAATCAATGCACACACTGGGAGACGGTGGACACTCCCGGGGATGAGGCTTTTGTAATCTGTACAGCATCCTCACACCCTTTCCTGAAAGCAACATCAGAGGAGCCCCCCAAAGTCTGCTGAGACTAGCCAGGGACCCTGGACAGTTTGTGTGGCACATCTCTAGGTTTTATCCTCAAACAATGAAGTGAAAGGAGGGATAATCTCTTACGAGCCCTTCCAGGTCTGACATCGCGAATGAAAGACAAGACGAACCTACAGGAAAGGGAACTTAAAATGGAAATTCGGGGCCAGGATGTCATTCAGTGGCAGAGAACTTGCCCAGAATGCATGAGGTCCTGGATCTGGTCTCCAGCACTTCCAAAAAAAAAAAAAAGAAGGAGCCAGGTGGTGGTGCACTTTTAATTCCAGTGCTTGGGAGGCAGAGACAGGAGGATCTCTGTGAGTTCGAGGCCAGCCTGGTCTATAGAGTGAGTTCCAGGACAGCCCAGGGCTGTTATAAAAACAAAAAAAAAAAAAAAAACAAAAAAAACAAACAAACAAAAAAAAACCCTGTCTTGAAAAAGAAAAAGAAGGAAGCTCAGGGTAAGACATTTTAAATAGCTCTCTCCCTTCACAAATGATTTCTTCTAAAATATTCTGAAAACTGCACACTGTGGAGAGTCCACTCAAGGAAACCACACAACGGAAATAGCATGGGGAACACTGCCCTTGCCTTCCCCAGGGCTCTGCTGCACTTCTGAAGATAAAGATCGTTAATGTCCTTGCTGTAATTTTCTCTAAGCTTCCCCAAACATGGATGCATGGGCACATATCCCTACACCTTCATGTTCCTGTCACTCTCGCTTTGTTCATTCATATACGCCACACATCTCTACAGCCAACATCTTCAGGTTTCAATCGTTAGTATTTCACTGACTCAAGCCCTACACGTCGCGTGATTCTAACCTTGCTGCTGGATACTTAGATGGTCCCTCCGTCCCTTTCTGTGACTGGGCCTGGCCTTGAACTTGCTGGGTGGGCCAGACTGGCCTGGAAGTGGCCATCTTCTTATTTCAGCCCCTGAAGTGCTAGGATTACAGGCGCTGCATGCATCCATGCCTGGTTTATTTTCCTATGTTTGAGACAAGAAGCTGCAATAAACACTTCCGGGGTTAGCCCTAGAAAACCCTGGGTTGAGGGTTATGCAGCTCTTAGGGACTAATATACACGGCCAAGGTGTCCTGCAGAAGTGAAGCAGTTTGCCGTCCCCCAGAAATACAGGCAGTTCCCGCTTTCTCTGCATCTTCAACAGCGTGGCACGTATCCACCTTTTTAAACAATGTTTCTCAGCATACCTTATTAATTATTTCAACTAGCATACTCCAGAATGGGTTTCGTGATGACAGTTTTAGACACACCATTGTGTCTAGCTCATTTCTGTCCCCCGTCCATTATTAAACTCTTTGGCTTTGGCAATGTGAGTTGAAAACTGATCACTTCTCAATTCCGAACTCTTCATTGCCATCAGGTCAGATATTTCTTTCTCTCTCTCCTCCCCTCTTTCCTCCCTCCCATATTCTCATTCTCCTCCCGCCCCTACCCAGCAGCTCCCAAACACACACTTCTCCAGCACAGATTAAATCATATTTCAGGTAAAGGGTATAGAACAATGTTGGATATATAATGTACACCACACACATATGCACAAATACTTATGTACACACACACACATGAATTAAAAATCAAAGACACCTACCAATATTTATCAAATGCCCTTTAGGCCCTGTGCTGGGTGTGGTGGTGAGTACTGATAATCCCAGCACAAAGGAGAGAGAGGCAGGAAGATCTGAGGTTCAAGGTCAACATGGGATATGTAGTGAGTCAGCCTGGGCTACATGAAATCCTGTCTTAAAAGATCGATAATAGGGGCCAGAGCGACAGCTCTGGAGTTAAGAGTTCTTGCTCTTGTAGAGGACCCTGATTTAGTTTCCAGCACCCACTTGGTGATTCACAACCATCTGTACCTCAAGTTCCAGGCACGCCCTCTTCTGATCTCCATAGATACCAGGTATGCGGATGATGCATACACAGACAAGTCGGCAAAACACTCAGATGCATAAAATGAATCTTAAAAAATTAGTCAAGAGGGGGCTGTAGAGATGGCTCAGTGGTGAAGAGAACTAGCTGCTCTTCCAAAGGTCCTAAGTTCAATTCTTAGCACCGACATGGTGGCTCACAACCATCTATAATGGGATCTGATGCCCTCTTCTGGCCTGCAGGTGTACCTGCAGAGCACTCATATATAAAATATAAATAAAATTTTAAAAATTTAATCCAGAATAAGTAAATAAAATACAATATTTCACGATTCTATTTATTATTTAGCTTACATGTTCTATACCAGTATTCACAGATGAGCATTCATTCTGCTATTTAACTGATGAATTATGAATGTGTGCCACACACCAGCTGTCCTGTGCTTTGTTATCAGTGTGGCACTAGTTTCACAGAATGGCCTGGAATCTTTCCTTCCCTAAGACCTGGTATGGTTGGTGGTACCTAAATAACATTCCCACTATGCAGTCCGGGAAGGTTCAACGAACACTGCTACACTTGGCTGTTTAGGGTTTTTTGAGGACTTGGATCCTTCCATAATTGTTGGTCTGTTTGGGTTTTCCAGCTATTCTGAGTCAAACCGATTATTTACATTTTTTTCCAGGAAACTCTTGTTTCAGCTCGCTTTCGAATGGATTTGCACATGGCTGACCCTGGTATTCTCCAAGAATTCTACCTTCTCTGTATAAATGGCTATTTCCTCATTTTAATGTGGGACTTCCTCCATTTGCCTCGTGGTTTCCCCAACCCTTACCAGGTTAGCTAGTCTTTAAAGGGTATCAAATCAGGGATGGAGAGATCGACTGCTCGGCGACTAAGAGCGTGCATTGCTCTCCCGTAGGATCTGAGTTCAGCTCCCAGCACCCAGATCAGGTGGCTCACAACTCCCTATAACTCTAGTTCCAGAGGGATCTGATGTTTCTGGACTTCACAGACACTACATGCATGTATATATACGCCCCACCCACCCCCAACCAGACAACACACATAATTAAAAATAAATCTTCAAAATAAACGAATAAAAGTCACAAAATTATACAACACAGTTTTTCCCAGGATCCTGTTTACACACAGCCCAAATACAGAAGTGCTGAAATCGTAGAGAATGGGGAAGGTGGTGGAGAAAGGGTTGCTTGATAAACAAAAGTCATTCATCAGACATTTCCAGCTGCCTGCATTTCTTTATCACCAGGCCTGGGACACTCCATATTTCCTTTCCCCAGCTCCCTGCACTGATTAAACCTGCCACCACCCACTCTTCCTTCAGCATTCTGTGGTCACCTCCTCCAGGACCCTACCCTGCCTCCCAGGGAGGAGTTGGTGCCTTTCCTTTGGTGGGGGGGGGGGGGGGGAGACAATTTAAACACTGAACAGATAAACGAATAAAACCAATGTAATTAACAAATATTAACATCCTATAATTTTCCCTTCAGATGTTGCGTGAGTGCGTGTATGCCTGTGTGCATACTGTGTGTGTGTGTGTGTGTGCATGTGTGAGAGACGGAGTGTTCCTGATGAACCAGAAGTCTTTACCAGAAGTCTCTGCTCCATTCCCCGAAGATCACCACAGGGCTGTGCTCTTCAGGAGCTGTAACTTGTTCATCTCTATTAATCACACAATCTTGTTTTATAATTTTATTGACCTTATATTGTCACTGGTGGTATTGCTCTGCGATCTCCTTTTGCTACCGTTTTTTAGATTTATTCGTGGCGATACAGAATATCCATATACTGTACATATGTGTAGGCATATCAGTCTTATCAAGGTATAATTTACAGAAAATAAAACTCCGTGCTGGTTGTGGGGCACATGCCTGTAATCTTGGCATTTGGGAGATGGAGGCAGAAGGATCAGGTATTCAAAGTCATCTGCTTCTGCCTAGTGAGCTTGAGACAAGCCTATATGAAACCCTGCCCCCCCCCCAAAAAAAATCAAAACAAAAACTTCAGACGGGAGTGAGTGATGTATGTTTGTAATCCCAGCACTCAAAAGGCTGAGGCAGGAGGATTGCTGCAGACCAACCAGAGTGACGTAGCAAGATCTTGTCTCAAAAAGTCAAACCAGCATAAAACAGTAAGATAAACGGCCCCACTCTGCGTGTGCTAATTTCCAGGTGTCTCAGCTTTGGTTGTCCCCTCCACTGCTGTCGGTGACAAAGCTACAGTGGCTAAGACCTATTTTTTGCATTTCAGGTGTCGCTGCCCTAGATATCTCAGAGACTGTCACCTACTGCACAGGCATGAGTGTCTCTAGGTCACTGCACACCCAGATGTGAAACCATCAGTCATAAAGCACAGGCAACTGCATCTCCACCTGTCCTTGTCAGACTATCCCATCCCCGGCA